TTCTGCAGAGCCGGCGAGGGGCAGGGCCTGCTTAGGACCAAGGTGTCCTCACTCCCTGCTGGGCCCTTGTGACAGGAGTTTGCGGCCTGGGCTGGAATGGCCCCCATTCGGGTGGACCTCCCAGGTGCTGGTCCCTCCAACTGCAGAGGAGTTCAAGGGCTTGTAGCTTAGACCCACCATACTGGGCCCGAATCAGCTTGAATCCAGCTCCTTCCATGGTTGGGTGGTTATGTCAGCCAGTCCCTCCTGAGACCAGCATGAAACTGGGAGTTGGCCCTCTGGCCCCACTCAGCCTGTAGGACATGGGGCTCAGAGACAGGAGGCGTGAAGAGCAGCCAGGCCGGCGCTCTCTGGGAGCCCCACACTCTGCAGACCACGCTCTCACCTGGCTCACGGCCTCCGGTGACCTGCTTGTCCCTGGGAGCTGGGCAGGCTGAGCCAGACACTCTTGCCCAGCCCTGGCACAGGCCTTGTGGGGGACAGTCCTGGGGGCAGGCCAGCCCCTTTGAGCTGGGACAGGGAAATGAGGGGCTTCTGCAGGCTCACCCCAGGTCTAGGGCTGTGGGTTTCTGTTGCCCTGGGGCCCAGTAGCCCTGCTTTCTGCTCCCAGAGCTTCCAGGCTGGGCACCCAGTGTCGCAAGGAGAGGGTGACCTACAGGGACCTGGGCACTGAGAATCATACCTTTGGTCCAGTTAGAGGCCTGTCCCCGAGGCATGGGGAAGGGGGATTCCTGGTCTCCCCATCTCAGGCAAGGAGAGGTCTGGGCTTGTGGACTGGAAGACTTCAGGGAACTGGTCGCAAATGCACACAAATCCTTTCTCCCCGCAGCGGCGGAAATCGCGGTATGCAGAACTGGACTTTGAGGTGGGTCCTGGTGTCTCCTCCCCTGAACACCTGGGCCAGGTGTGCTCTGAGCCCCTACTCAACCAGGCAGCTCAGGCCCTTCCAGCAGTCAAGGAGGGGACAGGGAGGAGGACCCCACCCTGCTGGAAGGACACCTCCCAGGAGGCAGCCTGCAGGTGGCGGTGGGCAGCACAGGTGGGGCCAGGCAGTGCGGCCCTCTTGGCTCAGGACTCGCGGCCCCTCCCCTGCAGAAAATCATGCACACCCGGAAGCGGCACCAGGACATGTTCCAGGACCTGAACCGGAAGTTGCAGCACACGGAGAAGGACAAGGAGGTGCTGGGCCCAGACAGCAAGGTCAGGAGGGCCCAGGCTGGGGGTGGGTGGGGCCGGGGAGCCCTTGGGTCAGGTGGTTTTCTCCTTCTTCCTCCAACCCTGCGTCACTCACTCGTTCACTCAGCCTCTCCCAAGGACCAGCCTGGCCTGCAGGGACTGGGCATGCGGAAGGGTGTGTCCCAGGGGCCTTTCCCCCCAGCCACAGCTAGAAGGGCAGGCCACATGCTGGGGTGCAGGCTGGGCAAGAGCCAAGCGAGGGCGCTCAGCAGGCCGGGGCCCCAGCGCCCTTCCCCGCGAGCTGCCCACATCCTCATGCAGGCTGGGAAGGCTCTGCTCCACGCTCGGCCCCCGGGGCTCTGGGGGCTGCCAGCTGCCCACCCCTCCCCTGCCGGCCCCTCCCTCGCTGACGCTCTGCACCCTTTCCTCCATCCCCATCTGGTCTGCTCCGTGCCTCCCTCTCGGCCCCTCCCCCTCCACGCCCCGGCCTGCAGCCAGAAAAGCAGCAGACACCCAACAAGCGGCCCTGGGAGAGCCTTCGGAAAACCCACGGGACACCCGCGTGGGTGAAGAAGGAGCTGGAGCCGCTGCCGCCGTCGCCCCTGGAGCTGCGGAGTGTGGAGTGGGAGAAGTCGGGCGCCACCATCCCACTGGTGGGCCAGGACATCATTGACCTCCAGACCGAGGTCTGAGCGGGTGGGCAGCGGCCATGCACCGGGCCACGGAGGAGGCTGCTGCTCGGCCCGCTCCTGCCGCAGGACGGGCACAGACACGCCCACGGGCAGCGGGCCAGGCCCGTGCCCCGGCCTCAGGGCGCTCGGACAGCGGCCAGGCAGAGGCCCGCAGTGCTGGGACCAGAGCCAGACAGGACAGGAGGCAGTGGTGGCCCCGGTGGGCACAGGGCTCCAGAGGCCAGAAGGTGGCTCGGACTCTGCCCTCCTCGGGCCCAGCCCCGGCAGGCAGGTGGGCGGCCGCGGACAACAGCCAGGCCGGGTGCGGCCAGCATCCCCAGGATGCCCACCTGAGCTGCCACAGCAGAGGACCAGCCTGCTTGGCCCGGCCAGCCTGGCACCGTTTTTTAGACACCCCTATCCCTTGGGAAGCAGCCAGCCCCCCACACCTTTTTAGGGCAGGGGGCCTCCCTAGACCCAGGCGGAGAGCACAGCCCTTACACCTGCACCGCCCGGGGTAGGACTGAAATCCCACTCCGGGAAGAGGCAGGGGTGGGGAATCTATTTTTTCTCTCCTTTTCTTTTCTTCAATAAAAAGAATTAAAAACGTGCATTCTCCCTGTGTGGCCTTTCTCTGGCCAGCATGCAAGCTGTGGCCTCCGTGGGCTGGGGTGGGCTTCCCTGACCGGCTTTGGTCCCTCTGCCTGGGTCAGAGAGGGCTGGGGAAGCCTGGTGGGGGCTGTGGCTCCACCCCTGCCCTGGGCCCTGCCTGGATGTGAGGGCCCCTCTGTGTGTGGGCTTGTTTCCTAGGCCCGTGGTCACGTGGCCCCCAGGCATCCACGGAGGGTGCTGTGAAGGATCAGGATGGGGAACCTCAGATGCCAGGGACCCCTGCCCTCATGGACTTTTAGACCCACAGTGGGGAAGCATTTGACTCCCCTGTTCCCTGAGTCATTGCAAAGGTGACAAACATTGCTTTTTAAACAAAACCTGAAGCAGAAAAATGCAGTCACAGCAGATATGGCGAGCCTTGGGGCACCCCCTGCTGCTAGCTGGCCCAGTAGGCCAACAGTCTCCTCCAGGACCCCTGCCCTCCTCTGTATCCACCCACCACCCTCTGGTCTTGGGGCAGCTCCAGGACACGCTGGACTGGGGCCATGTTCCCAGGTCCCAGGACACCCTTCATCATTGTGGAACCTCCTGCCCCCAGGCCTCAGTGGTCCCAGCAGTCAAGACGATGGGTGTGAGGGCACGCCCCACGCCTTGGGGTGCTAGGTACATGACTGGCTTCCTGTTCTTTCCACCTGGTCCTCTTCCACCTCCCACCAAGGTCCATGGCATGGGGCCCAGTTTCTGAGGATGCGCTTTGCAATGTTCCCCAGGAGCGGAAATGCTGAGTCCTGCCTTTCTCCATGTTTCCAGCAGGGGGCAGCCTGAGCCTCCACACGGAGCCCAGCTGAGGAGTGAGAGGCTCGAAGTTAGCCAGATCCTCTCTCCCAAGGCTGTCCTCCCCACCCTGGGAAACCCCAGGGCCTTAGGCAGCTGGGCCGGTCCCGCTGGGCCCTGAAACACAGCAAGCAGCTGGCCCCCACGAGGGGTGTGCAGGTGGGCCCCAGCACCCTGAGACTGATTCCCCAACTGTATCACTCAAAATGAAAACAATACCAAGCAGAAAGCAGGGAAACGGCCTGGCAGGAGTTCCCGCGGTGACCATGCCCGTGGCTGACACTTCCGGTTCAGGGCTCAGCTTGTGGGAGTTTGGCCAGGTGTGGGAGGGTCTGTGAGACCCCCTCCACAAGCCCTCACCTCCTCCTGTGTGAATGACCAGTAACCACGGAGGATCACAAGGGCTCCACAAGGACAGGGAGGGGCCACTGGTGACATGCCTGGCCGGGAGGGGCTGGGAGACTGGGTGACCACAGCAGGCCTGTGTGGTAGAGGGAGGGAAGTGTGTGGCCCGGGGGTTCCGATGAGGTCGGCTGCCTGTGCTGGCTTCCTTATCCTCCTGTTGTTACAGCAGGAAGCTGATGGGCCTGGGAATGGGAGGTCCATGGAGAGAAGATCTTGAGCCCCTGGCAGACCCTTGCCTGATGGGTCCTTCTGGGGAAGGCAGCACGGTGCCCCGGGCCAGGATCTGGAGGCCTGAGCTGCTAAAGAGGGCTCTGCACTGTCCCTGTGGAGTGGCCAGGGCAGGGGCTTGTCGGCTCCCTGCTTCCCTGGCCCTGCTCACACCTAGCACCATGTGCAACAGAAAAACTGAAAAAGAAAAAAGAAAAGAAAACCCATAAGATAGGCTCAAGCCACACACCCCTGCATATGGGTGGAATGCCTCAGTGTGACCACTGGTACCAGGGACAGCATGTGACCAGTGTCAGGCTTCTCCTCGGTCCCTGTCTGTCCCTCCAAGAGGGCTGTCTTCCCAGGGGAGGCTGCCTCCTCTGTCCTGCCCAGGCCCGTGTTCACACCTGTTCCGTGCTCCAGGACTGGCCGGCATGGTCACTCGCCAGAGAAACTGCTGTCTGCTCCCTGTCCCTCAGTGCAGGAAGCCTCCCAGGGTGTCCCACCTCATTCATCAGAACCCTTGGGCCCTGCTTGAGTCTGCCCTCCATCACCCTCCTGTGATGAGCCCTGTGCTGGGCAGTGCTCCGGGCCAGGGGCACCTCATGCTCAGAAATAGGGTGAGGATCTCTGCAGGTTTGCCCCGTACTCACCCAGCTGTTTAGACTTCTGTGCTCCTGGCACTGACGAGGCAGGGTCCCTGATGTGATCTGCAGATGAGAAAACCAACGCTCAGGGTGGCTTAGTGATGTGCTGTGTCCTGCAGTGGGGCGGGTGCGTCTGAACCCAGCTTTCCTGACTCTAATTCCAGACCCTCCCCTCAATGGATGGGTTACCCAAAGGAAGCCATGGATATTCCACCTGCCAGTCCTTCACCTGAAACCACTCTCTTCCAGGCCTGGCCAGGCTACCAGGGAGGTATCCCTGGACCTGTGCACCCTTAATTGTCTTGGTATCTTTGTGTAAGCACTGTCCTCATCAGCAACTTGTTATAAGTACAGCTGAGACACCTCTGCCACTGCCCATCTGTCATTACCCTAGGGAGACACGTGGGGCTGATGGTGGTGCTCACTGGGCAGGATTTTGTGCATCCCAAGGGAGTGGTGACAGTTTTGTGCATGGCATTGAAGCTACAGGTCATGGTGGTGGTGGTGATGGTGGTGGTGGTGGTGGTGGTGGTGGTAGTGGTGGTGTGGTGATGGTGGTGGTGGTGGTGGTCGTGGTGGTCGTGGTGGTGGTGATGGTGGTCAGGAATGATTTGGGTGCTGATAATACCCAACATGACCAGCATTACTGATGGTGGTGCTTCTAAGACTGCAAATGAAGATCTCACTGGTCAGCCTGTCCTCCATTTCCGCAGTCTGGGAACATCTGGAGGACGGAAGGATAGAAAGCAGGACACACAAGGCCAATGACTAGAGTCTGAGTCACCTGGGGTGGAGCCAGCAGGAGCAGCAGCCGGCACTGTGCGTCTCATCAGCACCCACATTCCTAAGGTTCCAGGCAGCTCCTCTTCACCTGACTTCCATCTGCTTATCCCCTTTCCTGTCACCAACCAAACTGTGCCAGTTGGGGAGGGAGGCAGGCCTAAGTCTTGGCCCTGCTTCTAGGCATGTGGAGGCTCTTCTGGCAACGCCTTCACAACCACCTCTCCCCCTGCTTCCTGCACCTGATCAGCCACAAGCACACGCTGTCAGGAACTCCCTCCTGTCTAACCTTGGCTACAGCGTGAGGGGCCTGTCCCCATCAGCACCCCCTCCCTCCATCCCGACGACTACCTGGTTGCCACCTCTGGGCTGCTCAGGGATCACCCCCCAGTGGGGCCGGCTCCTCCTGGCCTCATTTGAGATAAAGGACTGAGCCTTCAGTTCCCACCCCTCCCAAGGCCCTGCATCGCACCTGGCCTTGACTGCAGAGGGGAGAAAACCCACAGTGTGCTCCGTGATCCAAGACCTGTTCTGGGACCTTCCAGTGGCTGGGAGTGCCCTTCCCAGCCTCTTTTCACCCCTCTCAGCTCATTGCGACCTTCTCCCGAAGCCAGGCCTATCTGGAGAACTCAAGACCTGAGAGACAGGGCAGCTAGTGCCTCACCTAAGAAACCCAGGAACTGCCACCCACCCCTTCCAGCTGCCCTGGGAGGCGACCAGATAGCCCTTTCTCACAGATGTAAACCCAGGAGGCCCTGGCCACCATCCTCCCAGAGCCTGTAGGTACCTTGGCTCAAGACATTACCCCCTGGCTGGAGACAGGCCCTGGGGAGGGAACTGCCCCAGACCTCGGGATGGGGGTGGGTGCTGGAGGGAAGAACGCACTGGTCAGGGAGGGGAGGGGTCACATGGGCCTCTGCCTACCTGCTCTGCCACCTACTGCCTGTGGCCCAGGGAAGTCTCAGACCTCCGTGGAGTGGGGATTCCCCACACTGCCTCCCTGCATGGGAGATGGTGGGAGGTGTTTCTGGCCCCTGCAGGGCTCCCTCCTACATATCCTACCTGGTGCACCAGCCAGCACTGGGGTGTCCCTGTGACTGGCAGAGTCTGCTCAGAGTGGCCCCAGGGGAGCCAACAACCTGGCTGGGCTGGCTGGGGCCAGGGCCCTTGACCTTGGGCAGGCCCTTCCCCTCTGGGCCTCAGTTTTCCCTCCAGCATCACTGGAGCAGGACGGGGTGACTGAGATCCCTTCCAGGAACAGCAGTCTGTCACCCTGCCCTTCTCGAGCCAAGGGAGCAGCAGGTTCCCCGAGTAAGTTTTCAGGCCCTAAAAATAACCAGGAGAGGAGGAACACCTCCGAACATGCCAGTTACTGCCCCATGTGGAACAGAAACGCCTCCAAAAAAGGCTGTGGCAGAGCCAGACGTGCTGAGACAGTCACTGCTCACGTCAGCTGCCAGCTGCGCTCCTCCAGAACCCTTCCTGCCCCAACCAGCCCACGGGCGCTGTGCCTGAGGGTCTCCCCCAGAGGGCAGCGGGCCTGGGTCAGGGTGTCGGTGAGTTTCGGGAAGCCGGAGTCAAGGCAGGTGCCCAGAGCCTGCCTGGGAACTGCAGCTCCTTGAACAAGCATCTGGGGTCTTGGGATTCAGAATTAGGGAATCTAAGACTTACTAGTCTAGAAATCGCATTTACATGTGTGGAATCTTAGGACAATCAGATTCACACCCCTTCCCCCAAACCTCAGGGTACAGGGGGCAGGACCTCCCAAGGACAGTAGGATGGGCTTCCTGTCCCCTTGCCTCCCAGCAAGCAGGGCCCCCAACTGGGGCTGGGAGCAGCTCAGAGTCCTGCTTGGCCCCCCACAGCTGTGCCGGGAAGTAGGTGCTGCTGGCTCCGTGGGGCTGTCTGGGAACGCCATATGGACCCCACCTAGGGGGAGCAGAAAGAGGAGGAACGCAGAGCCCCCATCAGCCCCCTCCTCCCGCTCCATCACCAGGAGTTCCCTGGGAGGCAGATGGTGGGTCAGGGGTCCAGGGCCTGAGGTCAGGGTGCCCATGATCTCCGGGGCTCCGTCCTCTGGCTGGTTTCCTCCTCTACCAGACTGCACCCCGCCTCTTCTCACCTGC